AGAGTTATGCCCAGATTACTGAATGGTGCCGAAACTGTGTAAAATCATCCGATTAGCCTTGTTTTCTTCCAATCGCCTTCTTGTTTGCCTTGAATCAAAATACAAGAGTAATGAGTCTAATTAAGTGCTAAAATAATGAAAATAAGTGAATATTTGGGGATAAAAATAGGGTACTTTTTAGTCTCATCAAGGGTACACTCCGAAAAAAGGAATCGATTATGAGGAAACCTTTTCGCCCGTGGCCATGCTTAAATCCATTAGGATCCTGCTAGCTGTAGTAGCATACCATGACTACGAGATTTGGCAAATGGATGTCAAATTCGCGTTCCTTAATGGAGATCTTACTGACGATATTTATATGTAGCAACCGCAAGTTTCATAGTTGCAGGTCAGGAACACATGGTATGTAAACTCAACCGATCCATATATGGACTTAAGCATGTTTTTAGGAGTTGGAACATCCGGTTTGACTCTACTGTCAAGCAATTTGACTTTGAGCAGAATCCGGATGAACCCTTTGTTTATAGGAAGACTAGTGGGGATAATGTTACGTTCTTGGTTCTGTATGTAGATGACATTCTACTCATTGGGAATGATGTAGGAATGTTGATTACGGTGAAAGTATGGCTTTCACAACAATTCTCCATGAAAGATCTTGGAGAAGCCTTTTATATCTTGGGATTTCGACTCTATAGAGATAGATCGAAGAGGATAATTGGATTATCCCAATCTACTTATATTGACAAAATAGTCAAGAGATACAGTATGGAGAACTCCAAGAAATAAAATGTTCCTTTTAGGCATGGAGTCACTCTCTCGAAGGGTATATCTCCCAAGACACCTGAGGAGATTGAGGGCATGAAGGAAGTTCCATATGCTTCTGCTGTAGGGAGCATCATGTATGCCATGTTGTGCACTCGACCATACTGGGCTGTCTTTGATATACCAATCAGTGAGATCCTTAGAGGGGATCAAAACATGGGTATATTGGGACAGCCCAAGAATTCATCTGAGTGGGTGATCGTAGTGACAGGATCAGCCCCTTTGTTGGACAAAGTGAGTGATCGGGGATGCACTCTCTCTGATGGAAACCTAAACTGCCGGCAGTTGATTTCATCCATTGAAATTTGTTTTTGCAAAATATATTTATATAGAGATATACATATATATTATGGTTTCAAAATGTTTGCAAAAGGTTTTAATTCCCGGGATCCATGCAAGTAGAGAGTGCAACACTGCACCTTGCAGCCGAAGGAGAGGTCCTCTCTTGTTGGGCAGTGTTTGATTATTATGGGCTGAGAGGTTAAGTGTAAGACCATTGAGGATTATACCTGATGGGCTAATCTAACATTTGCCCACAGCCCTTGGGCCTTCATAAGATAGCTGGACCCAATGATCATTTAGTGTAAATGTTGGGCCCATTAAGAGCCCATAATGATGGACTTAGGGGTTCACTGTATTCAACAGTGAATTCGGCCAGACCTTGTAACAGAGGCTAGGCTAAATCCATGTGGTTGATGTGTAGATCAATGATAGGATCTCACGCCATACAAAGAGAGCCAAGCTAGCCATCATTAAGTGGAAGTGAGCTTGAAAGCTTAATGGGCCTAAAAGTCCATTTCGAACTGGGTTGATTAGATTAATTAAATAGAAGCGGATTTAGGATTTGGATCAGTAGATAAGATAAGGGATTATCCTTATCCACTTAAAGAATTCAGATCCAAATAAAGATTTGGATCAAAGGAACTCATAATTTGATTAGGAAGGTTGACCTTTATCTGCAGATAAGATAAGGGATTATCCTTATCACTTAAAGAGTCAAGATTCAAATAAAAGCTTTGGATCAGGAAACTCCTAATGAGATTAGGAAGTTGTCTCTTTAAGGATATAAATAAGAGAGCAGGGTGAACATTCAAAACACACTCACTCAATACAGAGAGAAGACAACTCAGTTAGACTGTTCTTGCCTTCTACTATTTTTCTTCCTGCTCTTGCCGCCCTACCCTGTTCGATCTCCAGTTATTGGATTTGATCAAGATTTAACATTGATATTTTTCTTGCCAGAAGAAACAATTTAGAAGCTGTGCTCACTGTCCCATTCGATTCTTGCTGAATAATCACAAGTTCTTGGTGAAGAACTACCTGCTAGTCCTGCCTCATCATCCTAAGTTGTGTCATCTTCCGTGAATGGAGGATTTGGTGCATTCTTTGGGTGTGAACACCTACGTTGGGAGGAGCATTCTTGCGTGGATTCCGTATCAGGTATATCATTCCCTTAATTTGGTTTCAGATTTGGTCCGGTTTGGTTACAAGAACGAACATTGAAAATGCAGTTTTCTGAATTGGGAATAGGATTCCCGGATGAGAGTAAAGAAATTTTTGAAATTTCGCCCATCCTTCCTGCAAGGTTCGGCCATCCATATGATGGATCTCTCATTCCTTCAGTTTTCGTTCACCGCAACTCGTTGTGGGTGTTTGATGAGTTTTGGGTTCATCGCAAGTTCTATGGCGAATTATGAGCCTCGTCACATATCCATGCCAACCTATGAGTTGCCATAGGTGTTTCTGTGACTCTGGTTTAGTACCTTCACATCAATCACAATTGTGATGAACAACATATGCTTACACTTTGTGTTTAGTGAATAAGTTATTAAGCAAGGGGGCGCTGATCCGATATCTGTTTCAATTCATTTACATAATTATGGACACCAAAATCATTTAATTGGACTAGATTTGGATTTGATCCCGCCCAACCTGTTCCATTTAAGATTTGAGTTCAATTAAATTTTATATAATGAGCATATAATATTATATTTTTACTATATAACGCCACTTGCCTTGGCTTCAGGCTTAGCTGTCCATATCGTAAGGTAAATCAGAATAGTTTAATCTTATCATGTAAATGTCAATACTTGAAAATGGTGATTGTCCAAATGCTTTAATTTTTTAATTTAATTACTAAGTTATGACATTAATTGAAGGTAGTAAAGTAAAAAAAAATCAAAGTCTACATATAAATATTTCATGTTTTTATCTTGTTTACATGTGCTTAGTGATATAAGCATGTGTATACAAATATACAGAGTATTTCATACTCGTACATTTAGGCGGTGTTTGGGAGAGTTATGGAACCATGATATATTAGGTTTCAAACCACGCCATAACGAATTCAGGCAATCTATTGTGGTGTGATGTGGCCCAAAACCCAATATATCGTGGTGTAGTTTACACCACGCCCTAAATATCAATCACAACATTTTAACGTGGTTGTGAGTTGTAATTATACCACGGGATACTATAGCCCCAACATTGGTTATGTTACTTTGCAGGCTCGTCTTTTTGCAAGCTTGTGTTTACTTCTAATTTTTTGATCAATACTAGTTTTTTAATTTATTATTAGTATTATTATTTTATTAATTTTATTATTATTAATATTTTTAATTTTTTTGATCAATATGAATTTTTTAACTTTTTTATATTTTTAATTATATTACTATTAATTTTTATCACATGTTAAATTAATTAATATTATTTATTTGCAATTTACTTAAAAATGCCCAAAAAATACATTACTCTTGATTAATGATGTAGATCACCTCACAATGTATATAAAATACACGAAAACAAAATATAGTGTAGCCTAAACCACACCACACCTTGCATAATGCCTATATAGGTGTAGTGTGGTTCAGGCTACCAAATTTTAACCATAGTATAGGTGCCTATTCTGCTATGGTTCTGTGTGGTTGATTAAGGGTCTGTTTGGTTTGTGTGAATAAGGGTCTGAAATAGAATCTTAATACCATTCCCATTCATTCTCCCTCCCTTTAGGGGTGCAAATGGATCATATCATGATCTGATCCGGTCTGGAGTCCGATCCCATTTTGTCGGATTTAGATATCCCCACTTCGGATCTTCGGATCAGATAATAGGATCCGATCAGAAATCGGATCCAATTCGGATCACCCCCTATCCGATCCGAGAAGATTCAATTCGATATAAATGTTATTTGTTTATTTATATTTATAAATATATATAACACATTTATATGTTATTTATTTATTTATATTGTATTTTTATAAATTTGTTATATTATTTATTTTTATAAAAACATATATATATATATACAATGAAAATAGTTGAAAAGATACTTGTATTTTTTGTTTTTCTTTATTTAAATCGTTATATTTTTTATTTTAATAATTTTATTATTTCTTTTAAAAATTAAATCGAATTGGATTAGATCCAAAAATCCGACTTCTGATTGGATCGGATCTACTCTCCATAGTATCGGATCAGATTCTAATATACCATGGTTTGAATCCGATCGTATTCGGATATACCATGATTCAAATTCGATCAGATTCGAATCCGATCCGATCTGATCTATTTGCATCCTTACCTCCCTTGAAAGAATCCATTCCAACCAACTCAGATTCCAATTTCAATTCTAACCTGAACCAAACAAGCAAGAGGAATAGACCATTCTAATTCAGAAGGATTTCGATTTGGGGAATTTCCTTTTATCATTCTTATGCTCCCTTTGGGAGGAGTGTAAATAGAAATATGTACTATGCAAAACCTTTTATTGGTACTTGTAAACCTTGTATTGCACTCTGCATATTTGTATTTGCACTCTTCCAATCAGTTTGGAAAGAATACAAATACAAATATGTAGAGTGTAAATACAAGGTTTAGAAATAAAAATACAAGCTTTGTACCGTATTGTTGTACTCATACCAAACTGAGGCTTAAAGAACTTCCCTCAACGTTATATTTCCTTTGTTTCTGTAAAACCAAACATGTGAGAACAAAATATAAAAAAGAAAGTTAACTATAAGTATACTTCACTGAAGAAAATAAAAAAATATTCATAAGTTTCTTGTTTCAAATAAACCTTTTTTTTTTTGCTTTTGAAAAAAAAAAAAAAGCCTTTCTTTCAAGACATGCCTCTTTTTTTTTTGCGGCAAAATAAGCTCATTCCTGGCAGCCTGAAGTCTAAATAAATAAAAAGGAAATTATTCAAATTAAATGTTTAGCAAAGTCAGAGTATATACAGATATACATTTGAGACAACAATGGATACGATTGCATGAAGCAGAGACATATGACCATAATTCGCATCTTGATCTTCTTGAAGCAGGTAAGACACTCCAACTTCTTGATCAAGACATGAATGTATCTGTAATATCCTGACTTTATTGTGCTCAAACACATGGCAACATGGATAGGAAACAACTTTCCATGTTAATCTTGTTAGACAAAATTAAGTTTCTACCATCCTATACACGTATTGTTACATAACAAGTGACCATCTCTGTACTGTACCATCATGGAAAAGAGTCAAATTGTCCTCGTCAATAGTAACTCCCATGTCCCAAATCTGAAAACATGCCAGCAGTAACATCAGTCAGATTAGTTCCTAGAAATCATACTGGCAAAGCTGAAGCTCAAAATTTCTCTTAAGATATGCATCTCAGGTGGTTGTATCTGATAGGAAGGTAGCTAACGCCACCACCTTGATCACAAAATCCACTTTGACCAGGTACTGCATTTGAATCAAATTCTTCGAACAAAGTGTAGTTCAACAGAAAACAGCACGTCATGAAAATAAAGCTCTTTCAGGAAAAGTTTCACAAATAAACATTCAGCAATGATGAACAGATTCTATCTACATTCCTGGTACGAATTCTTTCTCAACTAGATTGAACATCATCTTTAGGCGATATTGCAGATTTGAGAGAATATTCTCTGTGATCCTTTTCTGATTCCTGGTGCTTTTCAGCCATGCAATACCAAAGAATACTTGAACATTACATTCATTAGATCTGGATGGTAGATCCTCGATTTGGTATCTTAAATGAAGCTGCAAATCAGGGGAAATGTACTCTGTTAGTTATCAACCAAGGCTCTAAAGCTAAGGAATGATTCATATCCAGCATCCTAGTGTAACAAGGAGATATTTTATCAGAAGAATGCCGAAGTGTTCATACAGTGAAATAGTCACCAAGTGGAACTCCGTGGAGCGTCATAACTTCTTCGACAGTCCATCCATTTCTTTCAGAAAGAGGAGACTTTTGCTGAGTGCTTGTCACTTCTCCACTGTAATGGGAAACATGCCTGTCAAATTTGTAACAAATTTGCCTTTGGTATATATCAGCCTTCTCCCTTTCCCATGGTGTGTAAGAATAATTAAGACATCCAACTTTTTCCATTATTTTACGGTCCAAGTATCCTCCACCAAATAGTTCCATGAAGTAATTGGTCTGCAGATCACCCCACAGAAAACAACTTTAACATCAGATATTGGACAGGAAACAATCCTAAAATCCAGACTGAAATAAACATTGCACAAAACATAACAATGAATGTATAAACACACTCTGAATATCTATGACCTCCACCACCCAAGAAATATCTAGTATACATGGAAACCCAATTGTTCTACCACTAAGGAAATTTGTAATCATACAATCTACCAAAATGTAGTGACTCAGATGGTCAATCAGCTAGTTGCTCTGACATTTTTACGTTATGGTCTGTTAGGACAAGTGAAATTGGAATTGAATTCAAACCTGCCTCAATTCCAAAGAATTCAAATGCGTAGTTTCCCAAGGAATTCAAAATCCACGAAAAACATGGAATTAAAGGCTTAAAATCTGCTAGCCTTCCAATTCTGTTCTACTAGGAATTGACTTTAATTCCAGTCCCAATTGAAACCCTGCCCTGCCTAAAATCTCCACAAAGTGCAGTGTGTTGAGTGATTGCAATACAGGTTCATAGAAGGGCAGACAGATATGCAAGACATACTGACTTTATCACAGTCATGCGCATGCGTGCACGCGCGCGCACACACACACACATACACACACACACACATGCACGCACACACCCACCCACCCCACACGGGATCTTCTATAAACACAAATGTGAGAACCTGGCTAAGTGACCAATCATGAGTGAACACACCAGAGTTCTGTACACATGGGTAACTGGCGTACAAATGTGTGGTTTGGGCCCAATGTGTATAGAACACTGGGTGCTCATTCGTGATTGGTTACTTAGACAGGTTCACATGTTTGTGTTCATACCAAATCCAGACTCCATGAACACACACAAAGAGAGAGAGAGAGAGAGAGAGAGAGAGAGAGAGAGAGAGAGCTCACAGGAACAGGGAGAACAGAGGAATGAACCTCTGACATTTTGGCATCCTCCAGACCCAAGAACGAGCCACTCTCTTCAGTTTGGAGGCTTTTTGATTCCGATTCTTCTTCAACGATTTGCACCTTCTGCTCTGGACTCAAAGATTTTTCCTTCCATAGAGCCATGATTGTCCTGTTTAATTGACATTAGATGCTCTATTCCCAACAAAGAAAGAAAGATTACAAATATACTGAACTCTATCTGTAACATAAGATGGCCATTTAATTTGATAACCAAAGTTGTGCAAAGTAATATATTGAACATAAGGACACTCCTTCCTAATCAATCAACAGGCCATAAACCAGATCTACATAGCCAACGAACTCTAAGATCCTTATTTAGCCATATATCAAGGATACTCCATTTTTCTGAAAGTTGACATGTCTGAGACCAACATCTATTCTATAGGATACATGATAACAGTTCTATGATTCCAAATCCATCTCAGGTTTTAGCTTGGAGCATCCTCCTTTCAGCAGTCCTCTGGGCAGTGTGGTGTGAAAGAAATAGTAGAATTTTTGAAGAGAGACAAAGTACAAAAGAAGGGCTGTTTAGAAGGATTTCGGGAATGGTGCATTCCAAGCTGGTAAATCATTCATTATTCAAAAACAGAAATTCATGTTCTTTTTTTTTTTTTTATCAAGATCTCCTCTTTGTAAGGAGCTTATAGTCGTTTTGATTTGGGACTGGTTGTACTGGGTATACTGGTTCTTTCCTCTTGTACAGATTCTCTTTGTACAGGGGTTTCCATAGTTGTATGGTTTTAAGATTATTAATAAAATTACTTTACCTTACAGTTTCAAAAAAAAAAAAAAAAACTCCCAAACACCTATAACAAATGGACAGGAGATTTGCAAGTGGTAGCAATTCTCACCATTAGCATTATAAAGAGTCCACCAATTCAAGGACACATAAAGAAAGGTCTTCTTTTTTGCAGATTGTCATTAGTGTTAATCTTCCCAAGTTCCGATAAAAGACTTCCTAGCAGAAGGCACCTATTTTGGGGGATGGGCCTGCACCAAATTTCTTTGGAAGGGAACAACTAAGTAGGAGAAGAGCACAAAGAGCTAAAGGAGGTGCACGAGAAAAAAACCTCTAGGATCGGGGGTCCAAACACATCTGTCAGGTCGAGACAAGTCAAAACAAACTTTCTTGAGGATAACCAGTGTCTTTTATGTTTTGTAAATACTCGCCACCAAGATAATAGGCTGACAATCAAATGTTTTTTTTTTTTTATGTTTGCTTATTATTGGTCTTTCTTTTGTTTTGGGCCATGGGCCGTAAGTTTTATAGATTTCTTATTGCTCCCATCTAAGTGGGAATTATTGCAATTGTTCTTATTCAGTTAAACCTGTTAATGATAAAACAAATGGGGGCTCACATTGGCTCTCACAATTAAGTGTTCTTTCTTCACCTCTACTGCTTTCTCCTTCTTTCTCCATCAATTATCTGGTTTTATTTCATGTTTCTCATTGCTGTACAAGACAAGTAGAGTCAATTCTTTTCATCTTTTGATAAGTAAAACCAAAATTTTAGCAGAACATGTTAGGGACTGCCTAACTCAGGGACTCTTTCGAGGGAGCCTGCCTCCTGAATGAGAGAGAGAGAGAGAGAGAGGGAGAGAAAGAGAGATTGTATTCCCAAATCGATAATACCCTCCTAGCTTCCTTTCCTTATTTATATACTGTTGTTACAATTCTGTTATACCAGCCTTTCCACTTGTCCAGTTTGTTAGTTAGTTTGTTCTAGTGGTTGGCTGTTAGTTACATTCTTTAAAGGCTGATGTGGCCTTTTCTTGCACACTTGTATTCCCTTTATTTGTGTCTCAACAGTCCCTCCTCCCTTGAAAGCGACCTTGCCCTCAAGGTCAAGATGTGTAAATCTATTCTGTAAATCCAAGTAAGGTTCCCAAGTTACATCCTCAATTGGGAGACCTGACCATACCACCAATGCCTCTGGTTCAATGTGATTCCCTTTGCGTATCCACCTGAAATCTGTTATCTGGGTGGGCTCAGTTTGAACTTGGCCATCTTCGGAGAATGATGGGAGGGTGGTTGTTGTTATTGCTCCTATTTTTGGCCATTTCTTCAATAGGGATACATGGAATACCAGGTGCAATTTTGATTTTGCTGGGAGGTCAAGCCTGTATGCTACCGATCCAATGAGTTCCACAATCCGAAATGGGCCGAAGTACCTAGGGCTCAGTTTGTTCCACCTGTGGCCTGCTACTGAAACTTGCTTGTATGGTTGTAATTTAAGGAATACTTGCTCCCCAATCTGGTGCTGGACAGGCCTATGCCTTCTGTTGTAGGAGTATTGTTGGGCTCGATGGAGGTGAGATTTGAGATCTTGTAACAACCTATCTCGCTGGAGGAGTTGGTCTTCTACTGCTGCTACTGCTGTAGAACCTTTCTCATATGGGAGTAGGGGAGGTGGCTCTCGTCCATATAGAGCCCGAAAGGGAGTCATTCCTGTTGCACTATGATACGTGGTATTGTACCACCATTCTGCCCAATGAAGCCACTTGAGCCACTGGCGTGGCCTATCCCCTGCATAGCACCTTAGATAGGTTTCCAAACTCCGGTTGATCACCTCAGTCTGCCCATTTGTTTGAGGGTGGTAGCTGGTAGATTTGAAGAGTTTCACTCCCTGTAGGCAAAAAAGTTCTGCCTAGAAACGACTCATAAAAACAGGGTCACGGTCTGAGACAATAGAGTTAGGGGTACCATGCAGTCGTGCCACCTCCTTAGTAAAAATCTCAGCCACCATTGAGGCTGTAAAGGGGTGGGACAGAGGGAGAAAATGGCAGTATTTGGTGAGTCTATCAACCACTACGAGAATGATGGACTTGCCACAGGAAAGGGGAAGCCCCGTTATGAAATCCATGGATATATCTGTCCACACTTGTGTAGGAATTGGGAATGGTTGTAGCAGTCTTGCTGGAGACTAGGTATCCGCTTTATTTTTCTGGCAAATGATGCATTTGGCTATGAATTTTTGGACCGAATTTCRCATGCCTTTCCAGTGGAATTGGGTGGCTAGTCTCTTGTAAGTGCGCAGGATCCCTGAGTGTCCTCCTGCTGGTGATGAGTGGAACACTTCCAGAAGCTGCTGAATATGGGCTGAATCCTGTGGTATCACCATTCGGCATTTATACAGCAGCAAGTCATTCTCCACTATGTACCTTGGGTGGCTAGTAGGGTCCTCTTGGACCTGTGAACGCAGCTTGCTCAGTTGTGGGTGCCTTTCAGCTTCTTCCCTTAGCTGACCCATGATGGAACAAGTTGGGTTCGTGAGAAGTAAGGGAAATAGTTGTGGCTGGCGTGACAGTGCATCCGCCACCTTGTTAGTGTGCCCTGCCTTGTATTTAATGACATATTCGTAGCCGAGTAATTTGGCTATCCATCGCTGCTGTTCCAGGGATAGTACGGACTGCTCCAACAGAAATTTCAGGCTCTGGTGGTCAGTCCGTATGATGAACTTCCTTCCTAGAAGGTAGGGCCACCACCTCTGAACTGCGAGAACAATTGCTATCAGTTCGCGTTCGTATACTGACTTGGCCCATTTCTGTGCTGTCATTGCTTTGCTGAAAAATGCTATTGGCCTTTCTTCTTGCACGAGGACTGCACCAACTCCTTGGCTTGACGCATCACATTCAATGATGAAGTCCTTTGAGAAGTCTGGAAGTGCAAGCGTTGGTGGGGATGAGACAGTTGTTTTGAGTGTCTCGAAGGCCTGTTGGGCCTCCCTAGTCCAGCAGAACCCATTCTTCTTAAGTAAACTTGTCAAGGGGGCAGTAATCAGTCCATACCCTCTGATGAATCGCCAGTAGTACCCTGTTAAACCCAAGAAGCCTCGTAGCTCCTTAACATTTTGAGGTCGAGGCCAATTTATCATGCTTGAGATCTTTTCCAGGTCTGTTGCTACAATGCCGTTTTCGACCACGTGCCCTAAGTAGTGTACTTGTGTCTGTCCAAATGCTTACTTTGACTCCTTTGCAAGGAGTTTATGGGTCCTTAGCAGTTCCAAGGTGATTTGTAGATGTACTAGGTGTTCGTCCCATGTAGCACTATATACAAGTATATCATAAAAAAAAACGAGTATAAATTTGCGCAGATGGGGTCGAAATATGTCATTCATAAGGGCTTGGAACGTAGCTGGCGCATTGGTCAACCCAAACGGCATGACCAGAAATTCATAATGCCCTTCGTGTGTACAAAAGGCAGTCTTGTGGATGTCTCCCTCATGGACCCATATTTGATGATATCCCAATCTCAGGTCTAGTTTAGAGAATATGGTGGCCCTGCCGAGTTCATCTAGTAGTTCATCGATTACCGGTATGGGAAATCGATCCTTCACAGTAATGTTGTTCAGAGTCCTATAGTCTATACAAAGTCGCCATGTCCCATCCTTCTTTTTCACAAGTAATACTGGCGAGGAGAATGGGCTTTGGCTGGGTTGTATAATTTTTCTGTCAAGCATATCTTGCACTTGCCTCTCAATCTCTAGTTTCTAAAAATAGGGGTAACGATAGGGCCTTACATTTGTGGGTGCAGTTCCGGGCAGCAATGGAATGCAATGATCATGGGCACGTTTCGGTGGTAGTTCCTTAGGTTCTTGGAAGATCACTGAGAACTTCTGAAGTAGTTGTTGTAGTTGTGTGTGGCCTTCTTCGGATCTGCTTCCTTGGGCTAGAATGGGGCCATTCCCGTGGGAGTTCATCTACATTAATATGATGTGGGCTGGGTCTACTGCCTGTTTCCTTAAGGAGGCAAGACTAATGGGTTCTGGACCCTTGGACAGCTGCCCTTGAATATGCACCTGTGAGCTGCCCACTTGAAAATCCATGGTGAGACGGGCCCAATCACATATCACCGGCCCTAGTTGCCTTAACCATTGGACTTCGAGAACTACATTTGCTCCACTGATTTCCAGGGGGTGAAGATCTACATCGAACTCATGTCCTTGTATCTTCATCTTTAATTCTGTGCACGTACTGTCACACACCAGGTTGCTCCCATTAGCTACGTGCACCCGGAAGGCTGTACATGGTTGGACCGGAATCCCTAGTTGTCTGACCAATGTTTGGGTAATGAAATTGAGGGTGCTGCCACTGTCTATCAGAACCGACACATGGCACCCTTGTACCAGTTCGATTACTCTCATAGTTTGAGAAGAAGCAAGACCCGTCAAGGCTTGTAGGGATACTTCCGGGTATTCCTTTGTCCATTGCCCCCATTCTTGGTTGTCCATTGGCTCTTCAATGTCTGTTGATTGCTCGACATATTCGGTTTCAGGTTGAAGGAAGAAAACTTGAGGGATCTTACAGCGATGGCCCGACCTGAATTTGTCTCCACATGCATAACAAAGGCCCTTTTCCCGTCGGGTTTGCATCTCAGCCTAGGTTAACCTCTTGGCTGAGCCGGGGCCTGAACTAGAGTTGGCGTCCTTGCCTGTGCTTCCTACTCCTGATCTGGGCTCCGATTTACCCAAGATACCTGGTTCTGGGTTCGGTATACCTAATCTGATCGCAGCTCCCAGAGATCAATTAATCCTTGCCCGATTCAGTTTGTCTTCGTTAGTCGAGCTAATGCTGGTGCTTCAAGAACGGTGGTGGGCTGCATGGCTTTTACCTCCAATTGCAATTCTTCCCTGAGTCTACCAACAAAACTGCCGACAAGCGCATTTTCTGGCCARCCTTGCACGCGCACAGCTAATCTTTTAAACGCCATCTGATAATCTTGGACGGAGCTAGTTTGTCGTAGCTTAGTGAGGCTTTCATCATAGTTCTCAAAAGACGAGACTCCAAATCGCATGGTTAAGGCGTCGGTGAAGTCTGCCCATGTGGCTCTTGGGTGCCGTCGCCTGTACCACTGGTACCAGACGATCGCCTCTCCTTCCAGGTGTGCAGAAGCTAATGGGAAACGATCAGGTCCCTATGTGTCGTGGTAATCGAAGTATCTTTCTGTTCGTAGAAGCCAGGATGTGGGATCTCCCCCTGCGAAGATGAGAAACTCGATTCTTGCTGTTCTTGATTCGCTTCGATGATTGGTGTCACTGCGTTCTTCCTGATTCGGCGCAGGTGGTGCCTGTGCCAGTCGTTCAAGCAAGGATGCGAAGCTTTCTTTTTTCTTTGACGCCAACCAATACTCTTTGCATTTCTCCTTCCATGTTGTCGACTCTGTTCTCCATTGCAGATGACCTTGTGCTTGGCATCTTGGCTCTGATACCAACTTGTTAGGGGCTGCCTAACTCAGGGACTCTTTCGAGGGAGCCTGCCTCCTGAATGAGAGAGAGAGAGATAGAAAGAGAGATTGTATTCCCAAATCGATAATACCCTCCTAGCTTCCTTTCCTTATTTATATACTGTTGTTACAATTCTGTTATACCAGCCTTTCACTTGTCTAGTTTGTTAGTTAGTTTGTTCTAGTGGTTGGCTATTAGTTACATTCTTTCAAGGCTGGAGTGGCCTTTTCTTGTACACTTGTGTTTCCTTTATTTGTGTCTCAACATAACAATTGATTTTGATTTTTCTTTTTAAAGAAAGACCATGTAAAGAAACGATTCCATAACACTTCTTCAAGACTATAAAAGATTTGTTATTCATTAAGTACCTGTGGGCAACATTGAAAGATACAAAAGAGTGGAAATGGAACTTCAGCCTCCCTTGTTCATCTTGTGTCCTTGCACCATGCCTTGCATCAATACCTCTACCTTTCCGAAGAGTAATGATAATGATTGGGCTGACCATTGATGAAAGTGTAGGAGGAACAACTTGAATGTCTTCTATGTCCTCCCAGAGAAAAAAGAATTTGGTTTTATGTCCAAATAAGTTTGCATGAAACCCAATTGTTCTTGCTGACAAAAAGAGGCGGCCCTGCACAGATGAAACCACAGGTCAATAACCTAACCTAGCAACATAGGCATCGTGTGGATCACAGAGAGAAATACAAGGTTCTTAACCTATGTTACTCCCTCCCTCCACAAGGCATAGTTGGAAATTAAAGAGATATCAAGATACTTAAAATCAAAACTTATAAAAATGGCTTGACAAGTGCTGCTGAATGTAACAGTACCTGCAGTGGCATTTTCCGCCTCAAGTGACAAGTGAAATCATTGATGAGAAATTCCTCGGGTGGAAGCCCAAACAGTTTCTGGAATGCTGAATTTGTTTGAGGTGACCTCAAATTTATCTGAAAACATTTTGGTTATTAACAATATGCAACTGAAAGACAACAGCATGAACCCTCATTAAGAAGAAATCTGATGCCAGAACAGCAATGTACCTTCTTGCCAACCTCCTTCTCCATCTTTGTTAGATACTCCTTAACAATATTGCTACCTCTTGTATTGTTCAAAAATATTCTTAGATGTAACTTAGAGTGGCATGCCTGAGCTAATTTTCCCTGTAGAGGAATCCAGACATCTGCAAGGTCTGATATGTTGGATTTTACAAAATTGATTTCAGCATGCCCAAGAGATATAGCATCATCAAAGGGTCCATCAAAATCATAAACTTCAACATCCAGCATAGATGGAGGATCATCCATTGCATCAAATTCAAATATTTCTGCAAGTCCAACAGGATTTCAACATAAAATCAGTATATGGGAATTTGAATTTCATAGTGCTTGTCCCAGTTGACAGAGATTTGAGTCCTAACTACACGAGACTGAACCATGTGCGTGTCTGCAAAAAGTAGAAGCTCTATACAGCACAAGAAACTAGGAAGTAGATATACCAACAGGATAGCTTACCATTCCATTGAGGATCAGTTCTCTGGAACTTGATAGAGCTTGTTCTGGTTTTACCATTGCAAGTAAAGACCACATATGGATCAGGAAACCCACTTGAATCGACAGCTGCTATATTACTTCCCTCAATCAAGGCAACAGTTAGTAACCATCCATCGCCTTGTGCTTTGACTCCATGATCACTGCCTAGACTTGGGAAAAAAGAATTAGTTAAAATACAATATAAGGAAAGACTAAAGTTGGGGAGAAATGGCCAACACACTTTATTTTGGAAGTTAAGCTGCAGATACAGAACCTGCTATGGGGATACATATCTTAAGGCCAAGAACAAGGCCCACCAACTACCCAAATCCCAGACAAGCCATGGTCCAAATCTGAAGCCCACTCCAGCAGACCCATCATTGGAGAGCCTGGAAGGGGGATAACCTAGAGTATCATTTTGTATTTTTTTTTTATTGGGCAAAGATGATGAGGAGCAATCATACCAAGTAAACCATGTGAGCCCTATCCTGTTCATATCTTGTTGGCCCAAAATTTTAGATTTTTAAAAATTTTGTTGGCTTTAGGAATTTGATAGTGAGATTCAGTTATGTGTCCCATTCTTTTTCTTTTCTATCTTCTTCAGTTACTTATCCCATTATTTTTTTTTCTATTTTCTTCAGTTGTTTCTCCCTTTTGGAGCATAACCTCCATCACAGTTCCTACAACTTGAAGACACATTTGCCTCAAAGTTCATGCTGCATCAGATTGCATTCCAAAACAATTGATGACAGCCTCAAGGTCAAGGTTGCACATATAGTTATGCTCGTTTTCCAACTTCAGCTAGAAAAATGATACAAACTAGTCAAAAAGTTAGTACCTTATTGCTATTAGTGTAAACATCGTACTACATAGTTAATACACCAAGCACTATCCTAGTAAATAATCAAAGTCCTATATAATTTTGTTATTGATAACTGGTTAATTTATTAATTGAAAAAGCTTAATTTACATGAGGAAGTGCATCCCTTTATTAATTGAAAAAGTCCTATTAGTGTAAACATCATACTGCATCTCTAGTTAACATCAACTATCAATCCCATAGATATATGGTTCCCCAATTATCATTCTCCAATACAAGTTTTCCCTGTTAACCCCTTCTTTCAATAAAGCATCAAACAGTTTGCATCCCTTTTTTTCCACAGAAATTGAACTCGTAAGTCTTGTGCTAACTTCCTTATTTCTCTCAAAACATGATTCTGCTGCCAAGGTGTCCTATATGATTTTTTCTCAAATCCTATCTGAGTTTTAGGACATTTATAGTTTAAGAGTATAAAATCAATTAGCATAAGAGCAAACAAGGATAGAGGGTTATTAAACATGTTTTACCTTTCTGAACTCTGGCCTGCATGAAACGTGCTATCAACTCCAAAACCCGTTCACCCTGAAGAACAAGAATCCCACACACAATCACTTCACCAATTGAATCTGGCAAGTCAAGCCCATCAAACTCAAGCCCTTGGATTGTGCTGGGCATTGCCAGGAAGATGTGTGCAAGCACATAGATTCCCATAAGAATAGTGGAAACTACTGTAAAATTTGCAAAATATTGAATTGCCAACTTCCGATCAGACTGTGGCTCCACCTGCAAAGAAGACAAAACCTGCTCCTTGTTGGACCCAAGGTCCTTCAAATCAACCTTCTTAACATTTTGAGATAGCAAATTTGCAAACTGTTCGTAGTTGTCCTTAAGGCCTTGTCGGGCTCCACCTTCTATCATACCTTTCATCATCGTGTTCTGTAAGAAATTCATGCGCCATGAAATTACCAACCTTGATGATTGTTCTTCATCCGGAAGCTCAGGTCCAGGTGTTATACAGAAGAGCAGTTCCGTCTTGAAGGTGCTCCCACACATAACATCTGGTGTGCTCACGCTTGATAAAACTGCAAAGACCTTCTCATCAGCTTTCAGATACACCTGCTCTTCAGTTGCTTTCACAGCCTTGATCAATTTAGTTGCAGCCTTTACATATGTGACTACTCTTTTCAACTTGTCAGTGCCATTCTCAAATCTCCAAGCACCTTGTTGAAGCTCAGTAGTTCCCTGCAACTCCGCCAAAGATTTTAGAAAATCTGAATCAGGTGAGAACAGTAGAAAATTGAGGTCTGATGGTGAAACAACATAAGATTGATCCAAAAGTATTCCCCCTGGTAAATTGCTTGGAACCTCTCCACCCTGATCTCTTTCTGACATACTTCTCATTGCTTCTTCAAAACTGCCATGAAATGACTGTTGTTCATATTTTTTATCGTAATTCTCAACCTTGGTGGTTTCAGGAAGATCTGATAGAGTACTGCTGGTGGATGGTGTTTCTCCATGTTTAAGAAAGAATTGAGAAAGCCAACCAGCAAATGTCTGTGGTGGCGTTTTCTCTTCCTTCTCAGAATTGACCTCTTCCATTCCCATTGAAGAAGATGACGCTAAGGGCCCACTGGAAGAACTAGAAGATGATTCACTTCTTAGTTCAGAAGAATTCCTCATTTGTGACACATGATCACCATTACAGGACAATGTATCGTCTAAGAAAGAATTACTTTGAGAGAAAGATATGGTGAGAAGAATTTCACCTACAAAAAAAAAGAACAAAGAAAAGGACTGGTTTCAAAGATCATGAGCTATAGACTCAATAGGCTACTTCAAGCATTTTTAGCACAATGAAGTAATACGAATAGGAATGCAGTTCAAATTAGAACACAAAATAATTGAAATGAACTTCATATATAACGACTTAAATGAAAAACCAAATGCTAAAGAAACAACAAATTTCAGAAAGAAAAGATAATAATAAAAAATCTAGAAACCAATTAACAGAAGTGGCCGAACAATTTGGAAGCTGATTTTGGAATTACATACCACAGTCTCTGTTCTTGGACTTCTTGTTCTTGGGTTGCAGGGTATACCAGACCGTGCCGAGAGACTTACTCTGGGCATCAAAGACCTTGGACACGGGCACTTTGAGCTGGCCCATAAAGTCGTCGTTGAAGTATTTATCTTCATCCAAAACAGACACAAGGAGCTCCTCATCGAGGTCTTCAACCCGAAAATTGAACTCCTCTCCCCAGCAAGGATTCAAGCTCTTCTTCACCACCTTAGTCTTACATTTTTGCCTCCCAATCTGCAATCTAACATAAGGATCACTTGAACCATTCAGATCCATTGCGCGTAGATTCCGCGCTTCGAGCACACGTACCACAAGCTTCATCCTTTTCTCTTTTCCTTTTTTGTTTGCAAAACTTAAAAAGCTATTTCTATCTGTGACTTAAATTAAAGAACAAACTTGGAAAAAACCGAAAATACTTGGAAGAACAGAGAACCTTCAGAAACGAGTGTTACAACAATCTCATTTCTTCGTTATTACAATTTAAAGACTACCAGAAACAAAAGGGCCCATTGTTAGCTGCAGAAAGCCTTAAATCTATCACAAACTGGAGGAACTACAGAACAAGTGAAGATGATGGAACAAACGTAAATAAAAGAATCAATTCAAACAAAAAAAGGGGAGAAGAATTACAGACCAAGTGAGATCAAACGGAAGATTGAAGCTGACGAAAGTAAAAGGGAAGGGGATTAGAGTGAAAATTGGGGAGGGAAATGAAGATCAAATGACGAACACGTCATGAGAGAAACCAAACCGAATGAGGCGAGAAAAGAAAAATAAAAAATTAAGATCACTTAAAGAAAAAAAAAAAAGGTCAGTAACGGCAACATCCAATTTGACAAGAAACGGAAAGACCAGAGACAGAGTCACAGAGGAACGAAGAAGAGTGCAAAAGAGATCTTTCTCCTCTTCCATTTTCTTTGTCGTTCGTTCATTCAAGTAATTGAAAACGCCTCCCTCTCTCTCTCTCTCTCTCATTGAATTGGTTTGATTACTGTTTGGACCAGTAGCGATTAATTAATCCAACCATTAGGCAAGCGGGAGGGAGGAAATGATGACTCGAATTTACATCTTTGGTCAAAAGAAAAGTTTGACTTTCTCATTCTTCTTCTTTTTGTTCGGCTTCAACTTTCTGATTCTATGGCCCCCCTACCGTTGGATTAGAATAAGAGATATATAACTCCCATACAACGGAATCAGAATAAAAGTCTACTGTGTCTCCAGGACCTCAGCTTGAGTGATACGGACGCCATCAGCCTATCACGACTCTTTCCTTGAAATTAGGGTAATAACTTAACCTCTTTCGTCTAGGTGTCATTTACGAAAATACCCTTGCTTGTGCTGAAAAAATATTAATTCAACCGAAGTACCGCGTTAAGCTTCGGGGACCCACGTGGAATGAAGCTGACAAGTAGGCGGTACGGTGTTCCGCCTTCCGACGATTAGTAATACGAGTAAAACTGTAGACAATTTGCGGTTGTCTACTCACACTATTGTTTTCAGATTCTTAATTTTTCGGTTTTAAAGACAAAAGAGTCAACTTTTAGTGAGCATAAATACTCAATAGATGCCTCATTTTGGAAACAGCCACATAAATCTTCATATTCTCCACTTTGGTGGAGCCTATTGCAGTTAGTAACTCATCCCCTATACTCACAATTGGATTAACTAGTAAACATGTATACATTTGCACGTGATAGTATCTTCAAGATAAAATTATTTATAATTTATGGACAATTTTTGAACAGTTATAAGTGGACAATTTCTTAATTGTTATAAGTAGACAGTTTTTAACAGTTATAAGTGGGCATTTTCTTAACTATTATAAGTGAACAGTTTAGAGTGAGAGTAAAGGATATATATGCCCTTTTTATGCCCGTAGATAAGGGGTAAAAATGTCTAATGAAAAGTCCAGAAAATGGGGCTATTCACTCTTTTATTAGTAATATAGATAACTTGGTCCCCCCTAATTTTTCAATAAAATATTATTGGTGAGACAAGTCACATTAATACTTATTTATCTTCATCCTTGCCCAATTTTTTATTTCTTGAAACCCTAATTTTAACTTTAACATAATCTATTATATTTTCCTATGTCAATTCAATTTGTTTGAATTGCATTTATAGGTTGGGTTTGATTTGGAATGACTTATTTATGTTACGTTACAGGATCGGGTTAGACAATGCCTCAATCTTAGCCTAATGCAAAGTTAAATAAGACTCATATTTTTTAATCTTAACTTTAAGAAAAACTTCATATTGAACTTTTTGGTTGGATTTTAGATGGAGAGTAATACATTCTCCCTCCCCCACCCCCCGAGAAAATTCTTGGCTCTATCACTATCAAAGAACATATTAAGGCTATTATGTTGACCAAGCTTCCAATGATGGTGCAAATTTTCAATGACAAGTTAATATGGCTATTTATGCCACATGGCAAGTACACTTGTAAGTCTGATTACAAGCTCTTATGCGATTTAAATCCTCTCAAGCTTCATTTGTTTGCTCTAACCTCACTTGAAAAAAAATTTGGAAGATGCAATTCCTCCTATCCTATATTAAAATGTGTAGAGAAAATGGTGGACCAGCTTGTAGTCCCACTTCTTCATTATTTCTTGATGTTTTCTTAATGATTATATTGCTATTAGAATATATTTTCCTATTGTTTCTAATGACAGGGGTATTCCTATCATTGTACCTATTTTGTTATAAGACTAATATAAATAGCACCTGGGGCAGCAGACTAGATAATTTTTTCTGCACCCCTTTTCTCTCTATTCTTACTTTCTCCTCTCTTATTCTCTTCTCTTCTCTTTATCTCTGTTATTTCTTTCTTTTCTGATTTCTTCTTGCTAAATAGGTTTGAACCTCATTAGTTTTATACAACTTGGTATCAGAGCAAGTCTAAGACTCATTAGGGCTCTCATGTAGGTGTAGTCTACCCGACTACATGAGAGTTTTCTAGGGCTAGAAGTTTAAGCTTAAATCGCCTAGTTCTTGGAGGCCATTGAAGATTGTAGGAGGTGCCCAAGGTTCAGAAATCTTGGAGAGCTGCCCAGTGACCAGGAAGAATCAGAGAAAACATGTCAGTTTATGATTTAGGGCTTAAATCAGATATTAGAAGTGGTGCCCAGTTTTTTATGGGTAGTTTCATACTTCTTTTTGGATTAATAGATGTTTAAAGTCTTTTGGAATCCTCTAGGAGGATTGACTATCAGATTTCTCACTTCTCTTGGACTAAGTTTAGGGTTTCTCTACGGACTGTGTTTTCTGGGCTGAGTTTTTGATAGTTTTTCACTTCAGCCTCTCATCTTGGGTTAGTGGAGAGGCCTCAGAACACCTTTTTTTTTTTATTTTGAGTGCTGTTGGACAACACTTGAAATAACATTTTTTTTTTGAAAAGGAGGTTGAACCGTGTTGTATCTTCCATTCTATGACTATCCATTGATCATTCTAACATGGAAATTACTAGAAATGCATCTAAATCTTATGGAGGACTTTTAGGAGCTGGAAATGCTACTAGAAACCGTTCATTTCAGATTACTACAGTCAATTTTGATGGAACAAACTATTTAGAATGGGTCCAATTAGCCATGATGGCCATTGGAGGAAGGGGAGAGCTGAGGTATTTGATGGGAGACACAAAGAAACCAACTCAAGGGTCGACCCTTCTCTTGCTAAATGGGTCCAAGAAAATTATTTGGTTATGACTTGGTTATGACTTGGTTATGACTTGGTTATGCAATTCCATGCAACCTCATATCAATATAAACTATCTATGGGCAAAGAAGGCTAAGGAGATTTGGGACAATATGAAAAAAACTTATTTTCAGCCCCTTAATGCTGCTAGAGCCTATGGACTAAAAAATAAGATGAATAATCTTAAACAGGGGGAGAAACCTGTGTTAGTTTATTTCTCCACCTTGAAATCATTGTGGCATGAGATTGATCATCTTGAAACTATTGAGTGGGAGAGCCAAGATGATGTTGCCACATAGAAGAAATTAGTTGAGAAAAATAGAGTGTTTGAATTCCTAGCTAGGTTAAACTTTGATTTTGACATTGTAAGATGACAACTACTCACTAGAGATAGTGTCTCCTTATCTCAAGCCTACTCTTTGGTACATAATAAGGAAAGTTATGCTACAAATTCCATATGTTGAATCAGCTTTAGTAGTCATAAAGCTAAAGATTGGAGGTGATAAGGAGAAGTAAAGAAGGAAGGAAAGAGGGATGTGTTTTGTGACTATTATAAGAAGCCAAAACATACGAAGGACACTTGTTGGAAGCTCCATCCTCAACTGATTCCATCCTTAACTGACTCTAGAAAGACTCAGGAATAATAAAGGGAATTCTAGTGCAACTGTAACCACAAGAGCTTCATCCACACCCAATACTAGATYCAATTCTCTTAATGCATAGGTTATGGTTAGAGCTACTTTATCTTGGCAAGAGAGTGAAGTAGGCATCTCTGGATATTCTCATTCTACTCCTCCCACTTCAGCTTTTGCTCAATCAGGTACACAGGTCACTATCTATCATACCTCAACCTAGGTAACACTAGCCATTTTTGGATTGAGATTTAGGAGCATTGATCATATAACCAGTTTGTCTTCCCTATTTCACACTTAAAGCTTGTCTTCCAGTAGAGACAAAGTGTCTATTGCTTATGGCTCTCTTGTCCCTATTTCAGGAAAGGGAGACATCAAGGTCTCTAATGCTATTTCTTTATCTTCAATTCTACATGTTCCTAAACTAAATACTAGTATACTTTCAGTCAGTATCACTAAACATCATAATTGTTCATGACTTTTTCCCTAATCATTGTATTTTCTAGGATCCGATGTCTCAAAAATCCAATTTATATTTATGGATGTCAGCTTCTTTGAAGATATCCCCTATTATCCTAGAGTCCTATCTCAGGGGGAGAGTGGTGAGTAGGACTCTTTTGCTCAAGATGCCCCTTTGCCTATTCCTATGAATGGAGGGGACTTGTCAAAAGTTTAAAGAATTGAGAGTGCTTTACAGATGATGGTGGAGGCAAGTTGGTTCCAGTAATGATCAGTCTAGGCCAGTTTCAGTCTCCTTTGGGGCACCAAATTCAGGTATTGCCTCCCCTTACCCACTCCTACTACTAATGACATACCCACTTCCTCTACTGAGCCTCAGACACCCTCAAATGATCTTGACCTCCCAATTGCATTATGCAAGGGGAAGTGTCGTTGTACCTCATCTACTGCCCATTGTATCTCCCATTTTCTTTCTTATATATGACCACCTTTCATCATCATATAAGTCATTTTTATCCTCCATTGCTGCCATTCCTATTCCTAGAACTATGCAAGAAGGCATAGTTGTCCATGAGTGGAAGGAAGCAATGAAGGTCGAGATGGGTGTAGGTGGTAGGTGGACATTCACAGTAAAGTATAATGTTGATGGAAACAATTGAAAGATATAAGGCTAGACTAGTTTCTAAGGGATACATTCAAACTTATGGTATTGATTACTTGGAAACCTTTGCACCAGTTTCCAAATAAACACCATCAAGGTTTTGTTGTCTCTTGCTACTAATTTCTCATGGCTATTGTTTCAAATGGATGTTAAGAATGCATTTCTAAATAGTGACTTGCAAGAGGAGGTGTATATGGAGTTGCCTCCTAGTTTTTATGATGCAAAGAGTTGTAAGAAAGTTGGTAAGTTAAAAAAAGTTTTTTATGGTCTAAAACAATCTCCAAGATCATGGTTTGATAGATTTAGACTTGCTTTAGAAAGAAGAATTTGATCACACTCTTTTCATTAAGAAATAAGAAATTTGCTTTGACTCTCCTAGTTGTGTATATTGATGGCATTGTTGTGATAGGAAGTGATATTGATGAAATTAATTCTCTTAAGCGATTGTTTAATCAAGAGTTTGAAGTAAAGGATCTGGGTGAGTTGAGGTATTTCATTGGGATTGAAGTGGCAAGGTTCAAGCATGACA